TCTTTGAAGGCAAGAATGATGAGGCTTCGCCTCAACATACTTTGGGCATGTTGCTAGGAGAGACTATTTCTTGGATAAGGACATGATGCTGGGAAAGGCAGAGGGTCGGCAAAGGAGAGGAAGCCCCTCAACCAGGTGGACTGACATGGTAACTGCTGCAATGGGTTCTTGTGTGTCAGAAAGTGTGAGAATGGAGTATAATAGAACAGGGTTCAGATCTTTTGGTCATAGGGTCACTGAGTTGTACCTGACTTGATGACATCTAACAAGAACAGCAACAAAATACAAGCATATAATGTAGACACTATACAATAACACCTTCATGATTCTGATAAACCAAGTAACTTTGGGAGGATTATGAATGAAATTCATTCATATTCTCTGTCTCTGTCTCTATCTCTGTCTCTCTGTTTCTCTCTCTGTCTCTCTGTTTCTCTCTCTGTCTCTCTGTTGAGTCAGTTCTGACTCATAGCTGACCGTCCAGCAGGTCTTCAAGGTTGTAAATCACAATGAAGAGGGACTGTCCATCTTTCTCAGGATGGTGGAATAGAACTGTCAGAGAAGCACAGTTTTTGTGTTAGCAACACAACTCTCTATGGGCTTTGTCACTAGGGCTCCAAAGAGTGGAATGTGAGACTCATGATAACCCTATAGGGAAAAAGGAGACAAGTCTCTGAGGGAGTGGCCTATAATGCATTCTATCTTACTAGAAATAAAAATCAAATAAAATTGAGCTGAGATAGGAGACCACCAAGAAATAACAGCCAGGAGTGAAATGTATTTTTCTTGGATCTGGGCCTCTGTATAACAAAGTTCTTTGACACCAGAACATATAGAGGTCTGCAGAAAACAGTGGGCACCTACACTTAACTTGGCAAAACAAAGACTTTCTTTCACAACTGACAGAACGGGAGAGATAAAGAGGGAGACAGCCTTCCCCTAGAGTTGGTACCCTGAATTTGGACTTACAGCTTTCTATATTGCAAGAGAATGCATTACTGTTGTCAAATGCATCCACTTTGTGATGGATTTGTGATAGCAACATTAGATAACTAAGACAACAATAATGGATCTTTTTTAAAATGTTCCTCTTTTAACGATACAAGGAGCTCTGGTGGCATAGTCTGTAATTATACATATATAATTATACATACACACATATA